TCAAATTCACACACATGCATACAAACACACAACACACACACACACACACACACACACACACACACACACACACAAATATCTTGCAATAAAGAGAAGCCACTTTTATCAGCAAGCGCCTATTGCTTCCTGTAGAGAATACTTCTAAATGTTAGGTTTTCCTCTTAGGACAAACCTGAGCTCCTCATGGTGCAGTGTAACCTCTATCTCTCACTCAGGGCTAGATAGGAATGGAAACAGCCATCTGATAGAATTTCATCAATTTGAAGTTGAGTGTTCCCTTAGGGATCCGTGACCCACCAGGGTGTCAAGTTCTTCCTTAGGGAAAGGCCAGTTTCCTACTCTTTGACCCGTATTTTGATTTTCCCCTGTATCTACTGGGCTCACAATGGGCTGATATCCTGCTGAGTCCATCCTAAGTTATACATTTCTATAACTAACTTATTATATACACCCTAGCCTAGACCATGTGGGAGCACTTACGTCAGCTTAGGCAAAATCATCTCACACAAAGCCTGTTGTATAAAGAGGCGTTGACTATCCATGTGATGTACTGAGTGCTGCAGTGAGAACGAAACACAGGAGTACTCACCCTTCACTTAAGGTTCATGTACGTTAAATGTGGTTCCTGCTGAATGCATATTGCCTTTGCACCATTGGAAAGTTAAAAAATAATTCAACCTTTATAAGTTGGGGTGACCTGTAGTTCTTTTTTTCCTTTACTCCCCTGTTCTTTCTGGATCCATTAAGTTGTAGGGCTCAGGCCAAGGTTCAGTTTTAATGGGGCCTCTAGAATCTTCTATCCAGAGGGTGACTTCCTCCGGGTCAATAAACAGATTTCCCCCGAAGAGCTCCTTTCCCAGGACCCTTGAGCTTGCAATGGATGAGCCTTGAGACGTTCAATGCCCTCCAACATGTTGGCAGGTAGGGCCAGTCTGGAAGGGAATGGTGTGGCGTGGGGTGGAGCCTCAGGAGTTGGTCCGGGGGCAGAGACGCTGGGGGGGCTGTGAAAGCTGACCTCTTCCTCACCTCCTGTTTGGTTCCTGGTCCTCCCACACACAACCTTTCCCAACAGGAAAGCCCCGTGGGCGGCTCATTGTTCAGTGAGTGTCTGGGCCACGTTCAGATACAAAGAGGAGACTGCAGAGAGCGAGGAGCCGGCACCTGCCAGACCACAAGGGAGGGGAGAGGGCCAACGCAGCCCTGGTGTTAGAAAGACAAATAGGAGGCAATCTGCATCCGCAGCCCAGTAACCACAGGGATTCGAGTGAAAACCACCTTTCATGGAGCTAATAATGCCGACTTGCCAAAAGGCTTGGTAATCCTCCTCTGGGACAGAGCGTCAGAGCTTCATTTTGTTCTCTAGATCAACAGCATCTGAGAGGAAGCCGGAGCCCTTCGGGGTCCTGCCCCAGTCACGCCTCCTCAGCGGTGGGGACTTCAGCCACCATGAGGGCACAGGGGACCGGAGGTACAGAGGGGCCTTCTGTCTTGGTGGCCTGGGGCTGGTAGGGATGGCAGAGCCAAACAGGGGACTGACTGAGCAGTTTTTGCATCCGTAGGGCGAACCTAAATGCGCTACATGTGTTTTGAGATGTGTCTCCGTGCAGGAGCGCCCTCCCTCTGTGGGTGCCCCGGCCTTGATCTGTCCTGGGTGCTGAAGATCAAGTGTGACTGAGCAGGGTATGGTCGCCGCGGAGCAGGGAGAGAGGCACTCAGGATTCCAGAGCTGGGAAGAACTTTCCAAAGTACGTGATATCCCCCGCTACTTCCACAGATGGCCATCCACGCCTGTTTGACCCCGTCCAGAGGCGGGGAACCCACCACTCTTTCATTGTGCAACTTCTTTAGTGACTGGATACTTTCTGGTCAGTGTTAGCACCAAGCAAATTGTCTTCACGGCTTAGAGTCTTCTGAGTGCCAGGCTGGCACCAGCCTATGGGACAGGGTATTTACCAGGCTGGCCCCAGGCTTGTCCTGTCTGGTTAGAATGTTTCTGTGGCTCTAGGTGAAAATGAAGCAGATTGCCCCATGCACCTCATTCTGCTCCTTTGAGATCATCTGGAACAAAGTCACAGCTGAATTCCACAGCCTACTGAGGCGACGCGGCCACAAGACTGACCAAGTCAGAGCCAGCAGTGCAAGTCAGTCCACTCTGCCAACCACCCTTTAACCCCCCTGCAAAGCTGACTCTGGGAGCCCGTCCAGACCAGAGGCTCCAGCACCATCAATGGGTGGATGGCTTCCAAGTCCTGAGCTCAGCCTGCCTCTTGCCCTGAGCACCACACCCTCTAGATCTTGGTTTAGATGCCCACAGCACCTCAGATTTCACAAGACAGTCTCCGCCTGCCTCTACCTTCCCACAAAGATTCTTCCTATTGTATCATGCATTGGAGCAATGACTCTGCGGTCCATCTCACCGGCCAAAGGCAGACATCCAAGAGCCCTCTTCCTGTCGAGTGCCCTCTGTCTGTAACTAGGGTCAGTGCTGTCTGCTGGCCAGCACTCAGCTTCTTCCCAGCCCCAGTGCTCCTGCCCCAGCTCCCATCAGTTCCCACCTTGACCCTGCCCTGGGCTCCAGGCTCAGCTGTTTTCCCTACCACCACTAATGGACAGCCCTTTCGTGTCCTGCTCCAGCGTGGCAGTCTGCATGGTGACCTGCATCAGCTGCCAGCTGAAGACCCAAGTCTTCAGTGCTGGTTTCCAGAGCTCTTTCCATCTGGTCCTTGCCCACCGCTGGCTTCTCCACATCCCACGTGTGCACCTCTCGCTCTGCCACACGAACCCCATCAGAACCCTACACCCTTTGGACTTGGGCTTCGGTCTCCACTAGGAAAGCTCTGCCCTGTTTCTCAGCCTGACCACCTCCCTCCCACCTCCAGAAGCCTAAGACCCCTGCGATCCCACTGCTTCCATGGGCTTCTAGAACATTCTGTGCGTGCCTTACTAAACGGTGTTGATTTCCTTGTTCCACTCCTCCACTGAGGAGAGAGGAAGCACGTCTCCCCTAATCTCACTGATGCAGGTCTAGTCGCTTTAGTTGACAGGTTTATGAAGACAAACACTGGAGCTGCCACATTAACTCACGAATGCCTGGTCAGGTAGGTACTCGCACTGGGAAGCCTTCAGAATAAATCGAGGTTTTGCAAAGGTGAACATGTTAAGGTCTGCATACTGTTCTCTACTTAATACCTGGGAGCTCTGCATGTCTTTTGTGAGTCATGTATTTGCACCAATAAAAACAATGAATGAATCAATCAAGATAAAACTCTAGGAAGCATGTTGATTATCAGAGACTGATTCTCGCCATCGAATGTCAAGATCCTACTGAATTTCTGTCATACTGAGGCAAGCAGAGTGTGTGCACAGAGCAGTCCCAATGGATACCTGTGCAGTTGGGTGGGAATACTTTGATTCTGATTCTTCTAACACCCATGTTCCTTTTGGAGGAGCTGCTCCACAGCACAATAACCACAAAAACTGAATTAAAAGCACCCAGCCAAAAAACTTTATTTGTATCATATTTTCTAAGAGAATAGCCTAATATCCTCTCCGTTTTTTATTCTCTGCTTTTGTTTGCATATTGGAAAATAAGGTTCTGTGTCAGGTACCTAACCTCCGGCTTTATGGATTCACTTGAAAAACATGTTTGCTTCATACTTTGTGTTGTTTACATTGGCATAGGTTTGTCCAGCCAGTATTTGGACGGCTGATTCTGTATTGGGGAGGTAAGTCTAAGCCAGAGAGACAGAATACTGGAGGGCGGAAGGGGAATTGTCACCAACGACAGACAGAGGTGGAAGCCACAGATGGGCGTGCTTCTTAGTAACGAAATTTAAATGAGGTTATTGGGGGTGAGTTTAAACCATATCTCCTCATGGTAAAGAGTTAATTTGCTTTCCATATGTCTTGAAGTTGGTGGGTCTTCCTACTTTGTATGTCCTTCTTATTGAGAATGCTCCATGTCCTCTTTTGGATACATCTTCTTATTTTCTTCCTCCTCTTAAATCGATACATGTCCAGGGAGACATCTAGGCAAGCACATTGTGAAGTGAAGTGTGCTATTCAAAACACCTGTCTTGTTACCATCACCTCCATCATCACTTCCATGATTATAACTATCACCTCCGCCAACACTTCCACCTGCACCATCACTACCGTTACCACCACCACCACCATCACTTTCCTCATCACCTAAATCCATCACTATTATCATCACTTCCATCACC